TTAAGAGACTTCCCCCTGTCAGAGTTGGGACCTTGTTTGTGTCATTCTTGTCAGAATATTGGCTTCCGCTGGTGATCAAATAGGAAGACCACTATTAACAAGACTGAGAAAGTGGCGGGTTTCTTACCTGGCCCTTTGGATTGACTGTCAGAAGATAGTCTGCAGAGAGATTCTCATTTCGGTGTAGATTGACCAGCGCGAGTTGTATTCCCAACTTTTCCCCACCCAGACCACCGTGCCCAAGTGCATACGTGAGTCTACTCATGATGGAGTACAAAGAGAAGGGGAAAATATGAAGAGTAAAATCTGATCGGCTAGCAGCCCCAACCACAATTTCCTCCTTGCTCGACGTCATGTTTGGTCAGATTCGATTGGAGCAAAAATCCAAACTTCATCTGATGGATGGGGGATTGACGAGCCATACTAAGAAGTTTGAGCATGCAATATTAGGCAATGCTAAATCGGGCAGCAGGTAACTGTCTGACATGTATATCTACTCTAAGCGGGGTAGCGATATCTCAACACCCGATGATTGGTGATGGGTGATGGGATGCACCCAGTCTGCACGTCACTCCTCTTGGATCCGGACTCGCCAGCCAAATTGTCGTTGGCGATGCGCTTTCATGAGAGACGACGAGAAAGAGACAAATAGACATCGAAGACGTTCAAGGATACTCTACGCCTCAGCTTTTTTTTTTTTTAGACTGAAGAGCTTTTGCCATAGAGCCTGATTTCAAAAGCTGGTCTACTTGCAACATTGCGCGCCCGACACTACAAGGTGCATGAGCATCAACGGCAAAATCTCGCAATAGGATTTCGAATTGCTTCAGAGAAACCAAAGAGGCAGTGGGTCCTGATTCTCCTGATTGATTCACAGAAGACGTCTTGATCTCATACTTGCTTTCACTTGACTTTAATGAAGTACAATCTGAAGTCGCGCGAACCAATCGATATGCTAACAGTGCAAATAGAATTGGAAAAGGGACTCAGAGAGAAGGCGAGGAGTTCTTATCGAGGCCAATCTCCAAGATACCTCGTTGGAAACAAGACACATATCAATTGGGAATAGGGACTGGTCTACGCTGGCAACGGTTGCTGAGAACTAAGCCACTTTAGTGTCTGCGCCCGGCGGGTTCGACTTTAACGCATTTAGATTTTCAAAACTGTCGTGCTAGTGACGTCTACCATTTGAGGACGTCCATCATAAAGCCTGAAGAGGCGCAAAAGCACAGCAAAACTGGGCTTGACTTCAACTTCAAAGACAAACTTTACAATCCAATTCCAGCTACCCCAAACGTACCCCGAATGGAAAGGCAGCATCGCCATACGATGACAGAATCACCACCAAGTGAGAGTAATCCAGTCGGCTCGTTTCCTGGCTCTGCATCGGCGTATGTCAGCAATTCAACGACACAACTTGCATACGATCTCATTAATACGTCAGAGGGCATTTCTACCTTGGTCGACTATCTTAGCGGACTGCCCAATGACGCGACCCCATCGCATTATGTTGATCTCGAAGGCGACAACCTCAGTAGGCATGGCATCATATCCATCCTCCAGCTATACGTGGCTCCGAAACAACACACATATCTCCTCGATATCCATGCACTCGGTCAAAGAGCTTTCTCGACCCAGGGCGAGAGAACAGGCAAAACTATCAAGGATTTTTTGGAGAACCCCGACATAAAGAAGGTCTTCTTCGATGTTAGAAACGACTCGGATGCTCTGTTCCACCACTTCAGAATCAGTCTAGACGGGATTCAAGATCTTCAACTCATGGAATTCGCCTCACGCTACAACAAGGCAGGATTTCTCAGCGGGTTGGCAAAATGTATAGAGAGGAATGCACCGTTGACGCCCGAGGAAATATTTTCTTGGAGAGCTGTCAAAGTGATAGGACACAACCTATTTAACCCACAGTCGGGCGGAAGTTATACTGTCTTCAACCAGCGACCCTTGTCTCCAGAAATCCTTCGATACTGCATTCAGGATGTCCAATACCTTCCGCGTCTCTGGCATGTGTACGATCAAAGGCTAGGAGAGAGCTGGAAGCACGCCGTCGTGGAAGAAACGAAGAATAGGGTCCTGCAATCTCAGGGATCTGATTATAATGGTCAGGGCAGGCATATGACAGAGCCACCTGCTGATTGGGTTGTGAGAAAACCAGAAATTGCCTCCACTATTCACCCTGAGCCATCTACAATTACTCGATACAGGTAGCATCAATTTGAGGGAAATAGATGGCGGGAATCACAGGCGGTAAGAGAGCTTTTGATCGGCAGTTATCGAAGTACTCTCTTCATGTTTTGATATTCCATACATTTAGAGTCATATTTGAAGCATTGCGGATATAGGGTTCGAGCCAGAGGTGTCTATCTTGGATGTACTTAGGTATTTTATCATCAACCGGTTGTGACATGATGTAGAGCTAACGAGTCTTGATGCTCGAAATGAAGAACTTCTCTTCTATTCAGCCACACCAAATCTACTGAGAGCCCGTAGTTTTGCTCCATATCTCCAGAGCAGTAACGGCGCTGGTACACCAATCACCGTTGCAATGATAGCCAGCAAACTCCCACCTAAGCCATAGCCAAGATTCCTGAACAAAGCCGGGACGAAAAGTGGAAATGCGAAAGCAAACATGGATCTCATGAAGCAACAAGCCGCCGAGGCTGAGGCAGTGTGAAGAGCGTAGCAGTCGGCGATGTAAGCCGAGATGCACTGGTACGAGACCATACTGCTGCCGATAGTGATGGCTATGCCCACCTACAGATGAGTGATGTAAGTCCGATAAACCAAATAGTGTCGGAGATTAGGTGAACTTACGTTAGGAAGCATGAAGTGCATCTTGTTTTGCGCTGTCCAGGCGAAGAGGATTATCCCACAGGGCGTAAGAAGAGAAGCGGGGACCATCAACGGAATGCGGAACTCCGGGACTCCCTTTCCATCTGTTTCCATACCTCGACGTCGTTTGAGTCTTTGATAAATCATATCCATTGTCGGGGCTGAGATCAAAACACCGATCAACGCGCCGACGGCAATAGAGATGTTGTTTAGAGTTGCTTGCCCCTTATGCATACCATAGTAATGCTCCCACAACCTAGGGAAGCTAGAGATGATGAGATAGAGTAGTCCAAAGTTGAACGCCTGATACAGCGCGAGACTTTGTATGATGGGCTGGGTAGCGAGCATGATCCATGGCCGAGACAGGCTGGCCTTGAGCACGACAGCGAGTGTGCGTTCCTGCTTTTCCCACTCCGTTCTGATGGACGCATCGTTGTAGAGCTCACGTAGGCGTTTGGCCTTCAGGTGCAACAGTCGTGGGGCGTACGTCTCTTCCAGAAAACTAAAGGCGATGACTTGCACTGTGAAGTTCAAAATGACCACGGACCAAAAGGTCCATCGCCAGGTAGCGAATTGAGAGATATACCCACCAGCTACGCATTCGAAAATGATTAGACTTGTCATTGATGTAATTCAATTATATCTGGGCTGTTAACGTACCAATAGGGCCGACTGCGAGACCCAAGACGGGAGCAAATTGCATGAATGCAATCCCTTTCCCTCGCTCCTCTGGCTTCCAGCAGTCAGCCAGTACACCACTGCCCATCTAGGAAAAGTCTCAGCATATGTAAGTCCTTCACGAACCAGCAATACATACCCCAATAGTCGCACTGCCGCCTATCCCAGCAAGGAAGCGAAACGCTAGGATCTGCTCTTTGGATGCTGCAAACCCACAAAGGGCAGTAGAAACGATGAAGATCAAATTCCCAACTCGTACAATCGGCGTTCGGCCCCATATCTCCGAACAAGGTGACAATAGGAAAGGTCCCAGTGCGTATGTGAGGAGGAATATTGAAAGCACTAATTGGCGCTCCACCTCATTGGTGATGTGTAGGTCGTGGCTGATCGGTCCTAGAGCTGGGGCGGCTATCGACGAGGACAGAGGAGATAGGAACGCGAACGATGATATGATCAAAGATGTCTATGATTTCCATCAGCTGATGCCCAATCGTCTGGTTTCTGCCAGAATGATACTGACAGTCCATTTTCGTCTTCGGTTCCAGTTCTTGGGGTTTTCTGGGTCCTCGGGCCCATCCCATGTCACCTGCAACAACGCATTATCGTCAGTACAATGCGGCCACTTTGAACCAGTCCACAAAGGCTCACAGGTGAGTGTGTAGAGATGTTCTCATTTCTACTTTCGTATAGTCCAGATTCCGATATTGAGGGCGAATTCGAAATTGGCGTGGCCTTCGCATCGTTGCCATGTTTGGTTATGGCTTCGTTTTCGCACAAGGTCGTCAAAGAATTAAACGTGAAGAGAGCCGGCCCCAAGGCTTGTACAACATTCTCGTTGCAGTCTTGTCGAGGATTCATGACATAAGTATCAAAAACAAGAAAGAGCTACTAAAAATTAGATGAGGGATTGCTGTCGAGATGATCTGGCCAAGACCCGTATCACCGAGACTGGAACTGCCACCTGACCACCCCAGACTCCTTATATCACCATGTCACTGGCTTCCATGGCTTGATATCCGCCAGAGGTCATAGCATGTTTACAATCTTTGACATGGATCAATAGTACGGGCCGCAATCCGCAACTTCCTCAACCCTATCTAAGGCTGAGCTAGGCACTTGAGCGCATCTCAGCTCTATGGAGCCCTTCGTAAAGCTGCCCATTCGGGCCTTTCGGAAGCTCTCGAGGTCAAGCCATCGTACAGAGAAGAAGCTTAGCGTAATGTTCCGTTCCTCGGAAAGACGGTGCAGGCCGAGCGATGGAGGGACCTGCTCCTTCCCCGGACAACCTTCGACCGCGCTACGATCTCAACTGGCGCGAACTATCCTACGCCACGGCCCGAATGGCACAAAACAAAAGCCACAAGCGTAGGTAGTTCCCCGTGTCTTACCCCTGGCGCGGACTTGGACCATGAAAAATCGTATTGTTAAAATCATGATGCTTGGTTTATGCCATGAGGATTATGAATCCCAAAAAAGTTTGCACCACACGATCCATCGTCACCAGAGACAAGGAAAAGGTCCATCCAGGATTCGAACCTGGGCTTACGGAAGGAACTGATTTCGAGATCAGAATCCGACGTCCTAACCAACTAGACTAATAGACCAATGATAATCAAGAACTACTTCTCACTGGGTTCGTGGTGCGGTTGCGACGTTCATGTTGGGTGTGGTTAGGGGCTGAAGCCCTCATTGTGGACATCGTGAAGTGGGTCTCAGATTCAAAGCAACATCAGAGGTGCAAAGTTGGTGTCGTAGCCCGAATTGTGTAATTCTCCTTGACATTGGCGACATTGAATATTAGAATGAAGACCTTCATTGGATTAAAGGATTTGGCATTGACTCGTTCGGTTCCGAGAGCCCGGGTTCAGAATGAGAAGCAAATTCTGAACAACGCCGCAATGCAGACATAAGATGTTTCTCTCCACACTGCATTCCTGAAGCAGTGAGGCGTTCAGCTGGGCATTCACTACTGCATTGGTGGCGCTGAGCATATAATTTCAGCTCGACGCCACAATTCCGTTGTGACAGCAAAGCTCAAAAAGGAATTTCGTCACGCGATGCAGCCGTGCTTTCCATGCCCTGTGGTGTGCTGTGAAGATGTGAATAACACCATTCGTGTAGTGCTAATTAGTGGACTTGATAGTTATGCAAGTTGCCCTGACTAGTATAATAATAGTGCAACTTACGTACTTACCTAGTCAATGTCAATTGAGACCACTTGATCTAGTACTAATTGCAAAGTAGCTTTGGCGGCATCCAAGTTCTGCGTCTTGAATCGGTGCAACGTAGCAGAACAATTACGATCCTCGTCCGTCTCAGCTTACGGTAATACTTTGTTACAGCGACGATCACGGTGAGTGCTTCAGGAAGCTCCGTGGGCCTCGGCCCATTTCTAAAAGCTTGGGCTAGGTCAAACATACATCAGAGAAGCGACTCACACATATAGACTAATCAAAAACCCTTTTCAAGTAGTAATAGCAGAGGGGAACAGGTTTGTTGTTTGCGCTGTCCATTCAGAAGGCAACAAGCAAGAAGCCTGCGCTACTCAGGTTTGGAGGACGCGTAGAACACCAACATTTATTGGGCGATTGGTTTAGTGGTATAATGACCGCTTAGCATGCGGTAGGTCCTGGGTTCGATTCCCAGATCGTCCATCGCTTTTTGCAGTTCCCACCTTGCTATCGTCGCCGTCAGTTGAGTGTCCCTTTTCGTGCCATTTAAAACATCTTTATTAAGAAAGGTAGTATTACGGCACGGCAGAAAGCATCTTGGGATGATTGAGGTCTCACCCGGAAGGTTAAATGCGTGCAGTGTCTGGGGTAAACCGGTCGGATGTCGATCACCCTCCCATCCGCGCTTGGAGACATCTCGAAAGGGACGTGACCTCATGACCCTCCGAGATTCAAGGGGCACGGTTCAGACTAGATTACTTTATTTTCTTATTTAGAAACCAAGGTACTTTTGTTTAGCTTCCATGATCAGACTTCACCCGGACAGCCGCCGTCAACTTGACCCCCAAAGCTTGGCGATCGACCAGGTTCATTAATATGGTGCAATATCGCGGCTAGATACTGAAGCGTTCGAAGTTCGAGCTTCTGGCTTTGCACCTTTGTCTGCCATCGCGTCCCCGTCGTTACAGCAACTTGATCTCGACATGGGCGGAACCATGGCTGCTCCCTGGCATACGCGGAGCCTAGTGAGGTGTCCCGAGAATATTATTTTCGCGGGTTGCGCCTGATGCTTCCGATACTTTGCGTATATGATCAACTCGAGTTGCACTTGCTCTCACCAGGTGGCCGTCTCGTGAGCTGGGCTGGATACCGGAGCTACTGCCAATCCAGACAACTCGCAAATTGATCATGTTTTCCACCCCAGCAATCTTTCTCGCGTTCATTTCTCTAGCATCAGCTCACAGCCGAGTGACAAATTTCGTAATCGACGGTACATCCTACCAAGGCTTCAACACACGATCCTCAAACCCCGACATCCTGGCGGCATGGAGCACCACAGTCAAGAATGACGGTTGGGTCAGCACGGAGAGCTACGGCAAACCTGACATCGTCTGTCATATCAATGCGACCAACGCTCAGGGCCATGCACCTATTGCTGCTGGCGACACCATCGACTTTCAATGGCAAGGTTGGCCCGAGTCACATCACGGCCCCGTCATCACGTACCTTGCTTTCTGTGGTATTGACAGAGGGTCCTGCGAGTCCATCGACAAGACAAAGTTGAGGTTTTTTGCGATTGACAAGGTCGGACTGGTTGATCCGAGTGCGAATGCCACGAGTTTTGCGACGGCGTGGGGAATTTGGGCGAGCGACATCCTCATCAGTAATAATGCGACCTGGGCGGTGCAAATTCCGCCCAAGATCCAACCGGGTTACTATGTGCTTCGACATGAGATCATTGCACTCCATTTTGCTAGGTATGCAGGGCAGGGCGCGCAGCACTATCCCCAGTGTGTCAACATTGAAGTTACTGGCGGCGGGAGCGACGAACCCGCTGGGACGTCGGCCGTGGATTTGTATCAAGCGGCGGAGAATGGGTTGATCTATGACATTTCTCAATCGCCTACTGGGACGTACAAGATCCCGGGGCCGACGATGTACAGTGGCGCAACGGCTTTCGTCTCTCAGACTGGGGTGCTGGTCCGTTCATCGACAACTGCGATACCCGGCCGACCGATCGCAACTCAGAGTTGAATTAATCGAACACAGGAGTCGTCGCTAGGTCGGAGGCGCGACTGACTGATGAGTACTTAAAAAGCTCGTTCTACTGCCGTTCTTGGTAAAAATGGGGCTAATGGAGACGCGGAGGCCGGATGCTGTCGGTGTGTCATAATAGGGCGGTAGCTAGCCCATGACAAGTTACGTAGAGTTTGACTGAAATTGACACAGCTCGTCCAGTTTCCTTCTCGTAGATCCATATATGCTGTCGTGAAGGGCGTTAAAGGCGTAGAAATATGACAAGCGATGAACGGAAATGACGACTAATCGACCGGACAACCACAGCTGCTGATTGCTTCCATCCACGGCTGGCGCTGCGCCGGTGCGGTACCCGGTTTCGGGCGCATTTGCCGGAGACAAGGTCCGGGGCCAACACCTTTGCCTATCGCTCTTCACTCTCCTACATCAACCCAACTGTGTCTGCCACCATTTTCAATTGACCGAGATTCATTGGCTCTCATGAATCATTGATTCCGTTACTCTTGTGTTGGATCTCCTACATAGCAGTCATTTTCAGCATGATCGCCCGCATAAGACCAGTACTGTCCATTCCCCGCCAGGTGAGGTCACTCTCGACCGCGCGGGGTTCCTTATCTGGACTCAAGATCAACACCGACCGGCTTCAAGAGACGATTCACCATACCTGCCAATGGGGTGCAGCGCATCGATACGGAAAGTATGAACTCGTGTTCTCTCTGCTTTCGACAATTGAGTCTGTTTAGATGCTCATCAGTGTGACGGCAGGGGTGCGACAGAGACGGGCATGGCCAGACTAGCGCTGTCCGACGACGATGCTCGTGTTAGAAAATGGTTCGCCGATGAGGTGGCAAGCCTTGACTGTGAGCTCGCCATTGACGAGATGGGAAACATGTTTGCGAAACGTCAAGGGGCGCTCAAATCATCCGCTCCGATGACAGCCATGGGGAGCCATCTTGATACCCAACCCCGCGGTGGCAGATACGATGGTATCCTGGGCGTTTTGGCCGCTGTGGAGGTGATGAGAACACTAAAGGACAACAACTTCAAGACGCAATTCGATGTTGGCATCGTGAATTGGACCAAGTAAGTGCGATAACCACCTCGAAAATGTTGCACAATGTCTGACAGAAAATAGCGAAGAGGGCGCCCGTTTCCCGAAGTCAATGATGTCCTCTGGCGTCTGGGCAGGTGAAATCCCGCGGGAAAAGGCCTGGGGCTTGGGCGATATCTTCGACCCTTCCGTGACCGTCAAGTCTGAGCTGGAGCGACACGGCTACATCGGTCCGCTCGCCTGTTCAAGCGACGCATCAACTGGGTACCCTCTGGGCGCGCATTTCGAGCTGCACATCGAGCAGGGCCCAATCCTCGAGGAGAACGGCAGGAAGATCGGCGTCGTGCAGGGCGCGCAGGCGTATCGCTGGTTCACCTTCACCATCAGGGGTCGCGACGCACACACGGGTACCACGCCGTTGAAGTCCCGCAGAGACCCGTTGCTCTCAGCGTCAAAGATGATTGCTGCCTCCAACGCCATCGCAAAGAAGCTTGGCGCGCTGGCGTCGACAGGTGTTCTCAAGATCCCACCCAGCTCGTCGACCAACACCATCGTCTCGGAGGTCACATTCACCCTTGATATTCGTCACCCCGAAGACGCAGTCGTCGAAGAGGTGCAGAGGCGTTGCATCGAGTCGTTTGAGGAGATCGCCGAGGAGGATGGCCGCGGGGTCGAGATGCAGTGGACGCTCGATACCGATTCGCCCGCGGTCAAGTTTGACAAGGAGTGCATTCAGGCGGTGGAGAGTGCGGCGATTGGTCTTTTTGGGCCGGACGGCTGGCTGCCGTTAACGAGCGGCGCAGGGCATGACAGTGTTTACACGAGCAAGCGGTGCCCAACAACGATGATTTTCGTCCCCTGCAAGGACGGTGTGAGCCATCACCCCGAGGAGTATTGCAGTCCGGAAGATTGGTCAGTCCATGTCGCCCGCCTATGTGTCGTGAAAAACGTGAGCTAACTTTGCGGCAGCGCGAATGGCACTCAGGCCCTGCTTGAAGCCGTTGTGAGCTACGACCATCTGAGAGCTAGTAGAAAGTGATGTTGTATGAGATGTTTTGAGAAGAAGAAATTGACAACCAGTCGTTGGGATTATTTTCTACCAGAAATATTTCATTTGGCTCATACAACTGAAGTATTCTTCATTGGAAGTTTCGTTGAGGTGAGCGGTCGTGAATGAACACTCAGTGAGTGAGTGAGTCCAAGCACATGGCTTCACTCCTGCATCAAATTCGTCACATAAATGTCTTGAGCTGGCCCAAACACATGCCAATGGGCTTCATTTGTAAGAAAGCTTCAATTTATCAGCACGCCCTTCATGTTGATTGTCATTATCGCGCCTTTGCATTGCGACGATCTCGCTGCTGGCCAACCAGGCTCACCCATGATGTCAGACCCTCAAAGACCATCAGTGAGTAAGTTTGGGACTTTGGTGCTTTTAGCGCTGTAGAAACAACCGTGCTGGACCTCGGAGACCCCTCATGCTCACTCCCGGTGCAACACGACAGCCACCCAGCAATTAGGGGCACCGAAACCATGAACGTGGATTAGTCAGACTCTATCTAGCAAGTTACTACCACCCATTGTGACGCCATCTGCACGTCCGGATCGTCCAAATAAGGGCGTGTTTATTGAACGTCAGGATAAAACATCGTCCATAATCCAGCCCATCCAGCCTCATCGAAGCATCCAACACAGCAATTGAATAAGACACACCTACAGACACTATCTACAGCTAGCGAGAGTCCACGCCGCTCCCCAAGTAGAAACTTTGAAGAGTCAAAACACAAGACTACACCATCACCATGGCGTCCGGAATCAAGCCGTACAAGATTGAGGTTCCACAATCAAAGATCGAGGAGCTCCGCGCCAAGCTCGATCTCGCAAAGTTCCCATCAGGGTCTGCGCTCACTGAGAGCTGGGACTATGGTGCGCCGGTCTCAGAGGTGAAGAGGTTGGCCGAGCGCTGGCGCAACGGCTTCGATTGGCGCGCTGCAGAGGCCAAGCTGAATGAGTTGCCGCAATTCACGACGACCATCTCAGTCGACGGCTTCGGCGACCTCGAAATTCACTTCATCCACCAGAAGAGCAAGCAACCTGGAGCTGTCCCGCTGCTATTTTCTCACGGCTGTATGTTCCACCCCATACGCTTTTCACGCACATATTGGCCATAACTGACTTGACATCAGGGCCTGGTAGCTTTCTTGAGGTCCTCAAGATTCTTCCGCTATTGACAACAGAGAAAAATGGTCTTTCTTTTGATGTTGTAGCGCCGTCACTTCCTAATTTTGGGTTCTCGGAGGGTCCGGATAAACCAGGTTTCCGCCTACCTCAGTACGCTGAGGTCATGCACAAGGTGATGCTGAAGCTCGGCTACGAGCAGTATGGTGAGTATTCACGCTTGGGAAGCTACTGAGTTTTGAGCTAACAATCGAGTAGTCACTCAAGGAGGCGATTGGGGCTTCGGAATCACCCGGTTCATGGGCCTACTCTACCCAGACCACGTCCTCGCGTCCCATATCAATATGGTCTCAGCCAGCCCACCATCCTTCTTCAAGAATCCGCTACAGTACATCAAGAACCTCTTCCCCTATTCTGAGAAGGAGAAGAAAGGCATTGAGCGAAGCCAATGGTTCCAGAGAGAGGGTCGCGGATACAACCTCGAGCAAAGCACCAAGCCCGCGACCTTGGGACTTGCATGGGCCGACTCGCCCGTGGCTTTACTATCGTGGATTCTTGAGAAGTTGCATGACTGGACTGACTCATATCCATGGACCGATGACGAGCTCCTGACTTGGATCTCTATCTACCAATTCTCAACGGCTGGGCCCGAGGCCAGCGCGCGCATTTACTACGAGGTCGCACACCCGAAGCCGCATACGGAGCATATGACGTGGGTACCGCGGGTGAAACTTGGCCTGTCTATCTTCCCTATGGACCTGATTGTTCCGCCGATGAGCCATGCCAAGACTTTGGGCCCTGTTGTGTTTGCTGTCACGCATGGTGATGGTGGACATTTTGCTGCTCACGAGAGGCCTGAGATATTGGTCAAGGACTTGAAAGAAATGTTCAGCAAGGGTGGTGGTGCGCATGATGTTGCGGAGGTGTTGTCGAAACATAGTCTTCGGTCAAAGCTGTAAAGCAGTGGTTGACGGTAAATGTTTTGTTTTTTGAGAGTACTCAAATCCGAAACTTCATGTTGATTCAAAATGCTCATAATGCCATTAACCCTGTAAACTACCAGCCTCATGCTGTATCCCGTCCCTCGATTGATTATTTGTGCCTTGTTGTCGCCAGACAAGAACAATATGCCATCCTGATACCGCAGGACCATTAATTATACATGTTCTGATCGTTATCAGACTTCGTGGCGATGAGGTATCAAGCTATGAGGTAGCCCATGGTTTCCCGGGTGAGCTGCAGCAAGGTCCTTCGGGTCTGCTGGTAGATCCTGACCAGGGTTGGCCTCTTCGTAGTGAGCCCACTTCACAAACCGGTAATACACAGCTGCGAGGGCAGCTCCCATGCATGGCCCAAGCCAGTAGATCCAGTGATAGTTGGGGAACGACCTGCCCGCGACGGCACATCCGAAGCTGCGGGCGGGGTTAAGGGAACCACCAGTGACCCAGACGCCTACTGCAGTGTCAGCCGTTTTTCGAGTGAAATTGAAGAAGGGAGGTCATTTTACCTGGAATGAGGATCATGAACAGAGCCAGTCCGACACCGATTGGTGCGAGGAAGGTATCGCGAGACTTCTCCACGGCCAACATGAAAACAACAATGACGAGCTGCGCGGTGAAAAACATCTCAAGGAAGAGACCCTGGGCAACAGACGTCCCAATGCCAAGCAGGGAGTTTGCCTGCGAAACTTGACCCGGAAACATGGCTTCAACCAGTCCGCCGGCACACATCGCGGCCAGCATCTGGGCCGGCACGAGGAAAGCGGACCGCATCCATGGCAATTGACCGCCGAGAGAAAGGCCTAGAGTGACCTAGTCTCGTTCATCAGCGTGCGACTCGAAAAATTGGCAGGCTGTGTGTTGTGCCCGTGAAAATGCATGCACTTACCGCAGGATTGAAGAGACCGCCACTGATGCGGTAAAAGGTCCAGACGTTGACGAGCAGAGAGAGACCGTATGACAGAGCGATAAAGACTACGCCCTCACTGCTCAGCGTACCATCACCGGCCGAGGAAACTCCCTGCTTGATCACCATAATGTTGCCTGCGTACGCAAAGTACAGAAAGAAAAAGGTGCCGACGAACTCGCCCGAGGCGGCGACGAGGTGGCCTCCCATGGTGCTGAGATGTGTTTTGGGAATCTCGTGGTGCTGCCCATTGGCGTGATCGTGATGGCGGTCCTGGGGTTTCGACATCTTTAAACTCTCCTCTCTCTCTATCTCCCTGTCTGTCTCTGTTGGTTTCTGAATCACTTGCTTGCGTCGACGCTGGCTGCGCTATCACCATCAAGGGGCATGGGTGGAAGGGAGAAACATCCGAGTGCAAGGGAGGGGACCCTTTTGAACATGTATGATGGCGACATTGTACCTACTTTAGGTATGTGGGAAAAGCAGCCGCAGGGGGTAAACACAAAGGAATATCACAAAACGCCGTGCCAGAAATTCTCCGTTGGGGGTTTAGCTCAACGGGTGTGGCTTGGAGCGTGTTTAACTGCAAGCGGCTCTAATGACTCTTCGTGATGCGGTGCGCACGTCAGTGGTACCCCCATGGTGAGACATTTAGCCTGGCGCTCCCAATCATCGGTGCATTCGTTGAAGCTGCCGTAAGCCGCAGACGTGCTGGAATCTCTTAATCTGGCGCGCCGCCGTTCACTTTCGAGTTCAGTACGATGACAAGCGGGCAGGCCGCGCGCACGCCTCCACTGCCCCATCATCCCACGTTTGATTTGTTGACAAAGACTGAAATTCCTACGCCTCGCGCCTCGGTCGTCTCTCTTTTCTGCGTGGCTTTCTCCGCGTCTGGGACATTCCCCACGCCATCCACATAAGTGTGGCCCGGAACTGCCCCCATCTCTGGAAATCTGAAATAGAAAGTCTAGCGTCCGTCCGTCAGTTTGTTAGTGACTGGAACTAGGAGCCCCGAAAGCCTCCGTGCCGTCAACCGGTCAACGGAAACAGGCAGTAGGCAGAGAGGCTCGAGAAATTGTTTTCATGTTCAACGGAGTGTTGCGTTTGTGCTTGTACTTTTTGAACAAATTCTCATTTACATCAGATTGGTGCGACTCGGTTTAAATTGCCTTGTGTAAGTAGAACTCACCATTGAAGTTGATGCTGGCTGCGCCGGTTAACAACATCGTATCACTTTGAAATGTCATGCCGAATACGAGATAGTCAACTTTCAAACATGCACTAGGAAGGCAGTTGCCGAAGTGCTGTGGGCCGGTCTTAAATCACTCACTCTCTTATTTGCGTCATAGAGAACTTGAGTACGGAAGAGATGACTTCCGTTATCAGATGGGGCTAGCAATTTAGTGAATAGCAATGTTCGCTCAGTTCTTAAATAGATGGTATGGGATCACCAGTTGCTTTTTCCAATAACCAGATTCATTGCAAGCTATAGATGGGAAGCGCTATCTAGGTCCAGGAAATGATCGCAAGTCTTTATCATTAGATACCTTACATATACTATTCATTGTGTAATGCTTAAGGGTGTGGCTCAAAGGTACCGAAGCATGCGGCAGTCCACAAGTACGACCGTTGTAGCAAGTGCGACTTCAATTTGCACTTCGAATGGAAGCAAACTTATGAGATTTTGGAATGCTACATCATCACCTGATCGTTCAAATTTTGCGATTATTTCTAGCCGAGGGAAAGTGAGCGTTTGGGATAGCAGAAACCTGGGCGGACCCCTTTCTGCCCCCTCAAGGGTTCCACCTCAGTTCGTCGAGGCGCAGTTGGAACACGATCACACCGATATTACATTGGATTGGAGCAAAGACAGTGAGATCTTGGCGATTAGACTTCCAAATGAGTCTACTATATACAGAATACAAGGCCCTCCAGAGAGTCAATCATTGTCTACGACCGATGGAAACCCATACAGCGAATTGGACGAAGAGCCAGTTCAGGCATCCAAATGGTTGGCCTTTTCTCCTTGTGGATCGTACCTACATCAGCATGATTGACGGCCGGATGAACACGTGGCGATTTTATTTGTGGCACTTTCCTTTCCTTACTCTTCAAATAAGTGAGGCTCCGGAAAAGTTTCCGGATGTTAGCGCTGTGCTTGGCAGCTTCTCACCGAACGCAACTCACTTAGCCCTGCTGAATGACGAACTGAAAATGAGAATCATCGACCTGGCATCCAGCGCTACGACTTGGGAATTGACCGACCGGCCAGGGGGCATCACGTACAACTCCACCGGAAGTCTGATAGCTATTGGATTTGTCTGGTGGGAAAATCCGACACGCAGAGCGGTTATGTGTTGCTGGTAAACGCAGAGACTGGAGATCAACTTTCCATACTGCAAATGCCGGGACCTGACCGCTACGTGGACTCTTCCTAGATGGCTTTTACTTGTTACGACAAAGCGATCACGATCCCCTGTGACAGTTTTGAGTAACGATATAACATCAAAAATCCATACACACAACAGACCACAGAGACAACTCCGGCCAGCTTGGCCCATGCAATGTCTTTGGCACCATACAAGGACGCGGACGAGATGCGAAAAACTGGATTATGATGCGTGGTCTAAGGATGATTTTTCTGCCTAGACATTGCGAGGACTATACTATGGCGACCAAATACTGGAATCGGCACCCTCATCGGTTCTTTGGGTACGACCTGAGACGAAAGGTGGCCTTTTTCATCGACGTAGCCTGCGACGATTGTACCGCCGAGAGCCACGCATCTGCGCTCGCTGCCACGTAGTTCAGTCTAGCAGGTTCCAGCCCACTAAAATCGTAAAAGAGATACCAGGAAACGTTTACACATGCTTGGTATCAAGTTGTGGTTTGCATCGTCGTGCCTTGCCTCATTTTGTGCCCTCGTGGTTTTCGTTGAGACTCAACTCAGCTTCAAACCGCTCTCTGTATGTCTTGTCGGTGATCTAGAAGGTCTGGAGGATAACCTTTAGCTTGCGACTCGAGGATGATCGACATCTCCTTAGCCATCCTCGAGACCGAGGACCCGGTTGCCATAATCCGCGACGCTGCTTTATACAAACGAGGCACGCTGCGGTCGCTGTGCAGGAGACCGACCCCGGTAATGTGAGGTCTTTTATGATTTCTGACCTCCAACCAGCCGTTCAAAAGATCTACGTCAACGACTTGGTCGAGTCGGATGATCTCCGTACTGGATGTGCTGGTGCTGGCCCCACTTCCGGCGGAATTAGGATCTTGTTGCTCAAAGATATCTGCGTACACCACCATGTAGAGCACGCAGATCAAGACACTAAGGATGTCGAGTACTGTTGCGACTCTCGTAGTGCGAAAGTATTGAAGGACCTGCGCTGCGTAGTACAAGCAGTGCCTTGCTCTGCCGACATTCTGCGGTATGATGTCCAGCAGTTCGGATCGGGCTTTGCTCTGACCTGCATCTGTCGTCTGCCATTTGCCGTAGGGGTTGAGTAGCCGCAACGGTGTAACTGAGCAAACGGAAAGAACTCGGGAGAGCAAGGCGAAGTCATTCGAGTTGGTGCCGGCGTCCGTTTCACGCAACACCTGAGAGCATCCTACTTGGGACAAAGCATCGAAGGCTTTCTGGGAGAGCATCGTCCCCATTCCTAGAGCCAGACCGGATTGACTAGCAGTACTGCCGACAGAGCCGAGTCCCATAGCTCGTAGCAGATCGCTCTCGGCAGCTTGCTGCACGATGGCCGAGAGCAGTATTGTAGACTTGGCCGGTTGCTCTAGACTCGCCGGCACTACATCGCCGAGACCAACGCGTGCAAGTAGAGCACAAAGAGTTGATGAAGGCTGCGGTGGCGGGAGAAGGTGCCACTGCTCGTAACTCGATGACCAGTACGCATCAGCTGTGGGCACCGGAGTTTGCAGCTCAGCAATTGAGAGCAGAGGAGGAAGCATGAAGAATGTCGCCTGGAGACACTCCGACACTTTTTGTGTGTAAGTTTCGTAGCACGAGGGTGGTTCAGCGAAGATGACTTACTCCAAGTGAAGTGTATGATCCGGCGTTTGGCTTCGGCTTGTATCCACTGGGACCATGCGTGGTTCGCGTCTTCAGCGGATGTACGCGTGTGCATCAAAGTGCCCTCTCGAGACAGCAATTGGCGACAAAGGGTGACGAGGATATTCCGGTAGAATTGCACCTCGATAATAACGCTCCGCTCACCTGAGAGCCACTGGCTTTGATGGAACAACAATAGGGACTGCGCACAGGTCAAAACGTCATTGCTCGATAGCTCTCGGATCTGCAATTTATTGAATGTCACATCAGTACGATGTCATGATAAAAGCTTCAATGATGGGCCTTACATCTCTTTTCAGCATGTGCTGGGCAATTCGCTGCAGTAGTAGAACATGATCGTGATGGTGGTGCGCTAGGGAGTACCGACTGCCAAGACACACCACACTGAGTGCCAGCTGCCACGTCTCGGGTGACGCCTGAAATGTCGGTTTATGTAACAAAGGCATTCGCGGATGAAAGTGCTCAAAATACAATTGCATGTATGCATCAAGGTGTCGCAAAGTTGGGAAGTTGGCGTCAAGCCCTTGAGCTTCATGCTGTGGCAGTCGGGCTTTGATGGCTTGGAGCATGTATGCTCGCGTTTCTGCTGTTATGGGAGGTACATGAGGAATGTACTCAGCGATCAGGATGTCTTCCTCTTCCGCTGTCAGGTTGCCTGGCCCAGTAAAAACTTCAACAGCCTCCACACCTACTCTTGGTGTTGCTTTTGCACCGAAGCTATTCTGCACGCTCTGGTCATCCACAGGTTCACCGACGGTAGCCAAAGCGGTGTCTCCGAAGCAAAAGTCTGTTGATGTCCCAACTCCGAGAGAAGGAACCGGTGAGAAAGGAAACAGGAATTGGGCAGGGGTCAAGAGGGCGTCCCAAAGGAGGTCTGGCTCGAGCGGAGGTTGGTCCGAGGCACAAGATTGCGAAGTAATAGGCTGCAAGTGCTGACGAGGCGGAGTAAGGGTAGAGAATACGTCGCCGTCGGCTACAGGCTGCGCAACGAGGATAGTCTCGTCGTCGCCGGAACTTCGTTGGTATGAGCAGCGACGACCTTTGTTTGTACAGTTGGTACAAGGTGCTGGCCTGCAACCATCGCAGCGTTGTTTAGCTTTGGCGCAGGCTTCGCACGCACGACGTTGGTCTCGTGAGAGATGATCATCGTTGTTTTGCGTCCATTCAGCGAGGACTGCAGTGCCATGTGTACGGACATGCCGTTTCAACGTGTCCCTTTTTCCCGCTGAAAGTCAGTCACAGACGTTACGGAAAGCCTGTCCAAGACACGGAGAATACACACCTTCGAGAGAAGGCTCTCTTACAGATACTGCATGTGTGAGAACGACGGCCGGAGTGGCGGTCCAGATGTCGACTTAGATGCTCGCGCCGACGGAAGGTCTGCCCGCATTCGGGACATGGCAGTGATGCGGAGGTGGAGGAGGAAGAGGGGGAGGATGAAGGGCCGTTGCCGGCACCGACACCGTCGGCAGCGCCATCGTTATCGGCATTGCTACCTCGATTGGCAACTGCGGAGGTACGCGATCGCATGTTGAACAATTCAGCGAGGTGTGACATCGCGGTATGTCTGCGGAGCAAGATGGGGAATGTTGGGGTTCCGAAATATTGCGGCGGCGGCGGCGGGGGTGGGGGATCCCAAAATATGTGGAGAATGGCGGCGGGGCCGCGGGGGTGGAGGGATGCCGATGAGTAACTCCCGTCTTGCGCTCTACCAACCGCCACCGCAACTCGCGAATGTCACAGTGGGCGGGACTCAGTTCGCCTACTCAATCAAGCTCGGTCCCGTTTACATCAATAGATCGAACTGCCTCAAGCATGTCAAGAAGTCGTTAAAGCTGAGACGTTATGATAGGCATTGTATTGCAAACTGCTCTGACGCCGCGATCTGACTTCTTTGTGTTACTTTCATTTCCTAATTTTCAGAAAAGCATATCCAATGTACCCAGTTGCAGTGTAGTCACCTTGGAACCCGTCTCCTTCTCGACTGCTTGCGTAGCTGGGCTTACATCCACCGTCCACGGCTTGATCGGCGCCTCATCGTGCAAACACCAGATCACCTTGTTCGGCTCTCCCAGAAGCTTCGATACTTGCACCGCGAATTGCGCCGCAGATCCATCAAACGGTCGTCCGTTCAAGTTCGCCCGCCCAGCAATTGCCTGAATGAGCACGTCTGGCTGTGGCTGCACCGTCTTCAATATTCCATCGTACCCGCCCAGATGTCCGTTCCACAGCAGTGTCTTGCCCTCCCCGAACAGGAAGTTGTACATTAGCTGCCCTCCGTCAAAGTGAGACATGCATTCCCTCGCCGGGCCGCTAACGTAGTCGACGAAAGAGCGCATGCCCGAGTCCATAGCATTGCGAGGCACGTGGTCGCCGATCTTGAGGAGGCCGTATTTCATACCGAATGTGATATCCAGTGTGCAAGTGTACTGGCTTGCTCCTCCAATGTACTCCTTGCCTGTATCCATGATCGCAGGCACATCGGCATGCGAGCCACCAGGCATGAGACAGTGCAGTGAAGGCCAGACATGGACGGAGGCCGCGGCCAATCTGGCATCCGGAGCCGGAGGAGCGCCTGGTGGCCCAGGAGCGATGTCAACTTCACCACGAGCTGCAGCTTGACGGCACTTGAAAGGAAAAATAGGGATGCGCTCGCCACCAGATACCGGGATCAACTGGTCCTCGGGCACCCCAGCTGACCGAAGGACGTTGATTGCTTCGCCATTAGCAATAACATGCGCTCCGGTTTTGATTGCGATCTTATCGGCTCCGGGAAGACTGATAGACACCTAGTGAGTCAAATTTGTGGACAAATCTAAGTGACTGTAATGCGAATTAGTGTGACACTTACTGGTCAAAATGTGCGTGGGAGATGAAGATGTAATCCGCTTCATCCACATCGTCGATTGCCAACACTTTGGGCAGAACACCTGGGCGTTCCAGCCATGTGTCCAAGAAGATGACGAGACCGTTGGCTTTCACGCGAAACGTGGTTGCACCTGGGTGATTAATGAGCCTCACGAACCTCGGCAGCAATTAGTGTAAACTGAATGTGGCGGCAACTTACCGAACCACTCGATTGTGGCATCCATGCTGAAGCTTTTGCCTGTCAACGCCGTGAAGTGGAGAAGAAAGTAAGCTATAGTTCAGATTGACGTCTGGATTGAATCTGAACCATCCACCTAGATATAGCCAGGTTGGAGTCACAGACCCTCTGATGACCAAGCCCGGGGACCCCGCAACTCCGCACCGTGAGGCGAACTAATCCTACACTCCAGGCTTTGCAGAAACTATTGGATTCTATCCAACGCCGCCCTTGTAACTACCTAGGGAAATTTCAGGATCCTGTCGACAAGCCGTGTCCAGCCTTCGTCTCTGGCCTGTGCCAATGATCCTTGCCAAGCGACAATCCCGTCGGGCCTCACAAGCACACCGCCAGACCTGTCTACACCGCGGTACCTCTCCCATTGCCCGGTCTTGTCTCGCCATCCATCTTGTCCAACAATCACCACTTTCACGCTGACGTCGTCCATCCTCTCCTCCGATGTGTTCTCCGCAAATAGAGTCAGTAAGTCCAGGTCTAAGAGATCACGCAACGCCACTGCCCTGTCGTCGCGCGTCACCCACGCATGGGGAAGATGATGCCCTGGAATCGTCGACATGTAGTACGTGTGGTGTACAAGTGTGCCGTCTGCAAGCTGTTGTCCTCCATGCCTTGCTTTACCCTCAGAATTGATGTCTGGGCTTGGGTAGAACCAGCCTACTTCGTACCCTGGCGCCTTGAACTCGGTATGACGCTTGTGATGCCAATTAGATAAGTGGCTGCTTCTCTGCGTATTCAGGGTGTCGTTTGTCGAAGAATGCCGCACCTGCTGCGAGGTTCTCGGCTTGACTCTACGACGCGCTGACGCCCATGACACGATCAATCTGACCTGAGTGAGAGCGCATGTTGTTGAGGCTGGTCTGCCCGACTCGTTTCCTGACCTCTGAGCGCTCCTCGTAGTAAGTGTTCAAGGGACTGTCAGAATGCCTGCCCGGCCGCTTGGGGGCCATACACAGTCTCCACACGAGGTTGTTTGCGTCTTGTATGCCAGACTTTTCCCCAGGGCTTTTCCAGAATCAGCATTGTTTGAATATCATGTCACATCAGAGGCGCGTGGTTTACTCGCAACTTACCACCCCATGGTGGAATTTGGTGAGCACTGTCGCCCACCAGGAAATGGCGTCCGACACGCCATTGCGATGCGTAAAGAGCTCCACCGTTCACTCGCTCAGGGAGATCAGCTCCATCTCAAGGTCCGGTATGCCGACGGTCCTCCTCGCGCGAGCCAGTGCCGTCCCAGCATCGAACTTGGTTGGGTCGTCTGCCGTCTGCGCGCAGACAAACATCCATTCCTCTATTTTTGGACTGGCCGTTGCTCCTGGTCAAGGCCCTAGCTGATAAAAGTAGCCGATGAGCGTGCTGTCCCCCATCGCCGGGTTCGTGAACCACGTTATGAAGACGCGATTATCCGGATGCAGGTTCCTAATTGGGGAGCGAATTTGTGCGCTTATCATGGTCAAGAGGTCGCCTTCACCGCTCCAGTCGACTCTCAGCTGTTTTGTGAACTGACGACCGTCGTCCGCAACGATCACGTACGTCCTTCTGTGTCAGGAAACGTCATCCGTGATGCGGTTCTTCACAGTAACTTCCGCGAAATCGCCGTGATCTTCTGTCGTTAACACTTTATGCCCGTAGAATGATTTATGACGATTCAGCTCCACGGCGCGTCGCTTCAAGATCGGTTCCAATTTATCTGCGGCAGAATGCTGTATTTCGACGGACTGTGTTGGGCGTACTCCGCTGCGTACTGGCCGCCTCCCCACGCATCTCTGGAGAACACTTCCTTCCCCTCTTCTCCGAGCGAGGTGTACCAGGCGGTTCGTCCGGCTATCTCGGCCGGTGCTGAAATTGCGTAAACTTCCTCCTCTACTCCCATGACACGAAGGATCTCAGTCGTACGCTGGTTGATGCCGCACGTTTTTGAATGGATTGCAGTTGACGGATGGCGCTCGAACAACTTGTTTGAGATGCCTCGGAACGATAGCAATATGGAGCATGTCAGGTCAACTGGGCCGCCACCTATAATAATCACTAGAACGACTCTATTATTTCCTTCACTGGATATGGAAGCAGATATCCCTGGATAGCTGAAGTACGTAGTAAGAGGGTGCTAACAATATTTTCAATGCATCAAGAAAGCGGAGGTTACATTGAGTAGCGCAGGCCCGGCGTATTTTGTGTTCCGAAGCAGACTCCGCACGAAAGAACTCGCCTTATTAACAAATTAACACACAATACGACAGTGCAAGGAGATGTCGAAAGTACCGTGTCATTGCTTCCGGTGATGAAGCGGCGGAGTTCCCCGTTTGCTGCGGAGAATGTTCAACAACATGTATAGCGGGTGCTCGCTCCTAGGATATCCATCACAAAGAGGAGTCGGTAAAGCAAATCCATCGTCACGCTACATTCATAACATCCTTTGCGATTATCAGCACCCCGGCTCAGTGAATAGATACAGATCTCCTACATGCACTACTTCTCATGCGATACATAGTCTACCTTCACTTCGGCTTTCAAACCGATAGTCTCTAAGGCAGAAACAAACCATCCCATCGCGGTCATAGCCATCCCGACAAAAGTAATCATCACCTTGCCCGATAACGTCGTCAAATCCAGCAAAGTTACGGTCTCACTGGCCTTCACCATCTTGAACGCGCGCGTGTACATCTCTGCGTCGAATGTGCGCGCTAAAGCGGCAAGTTCCCCATCAGACGGCACGTCCTGCTCAAATGTTGCTTGGTGGAAAAGTTCGACAAGATTGGCGGCGTCAGTCAGCGCCTGGTTTGCACCCATGCCTCGGCCAGGCGTCATGGGGTGCACGGCGTCGCCGAGGAGAACCACTCGCGAATTCTTGTCAATACCGTTTCGCCAATCCGTCTTCGGCTTGACGGAGCTGGTCACAAGGCCTGTCCGGACAGCCTCAGTCGCTGATCGCATGATGAGTTCTAAAGGTTTGCCATAGCCAAGGTCGTTTCGGAAGTAATCTATAAGGTGAGGAATGATCTTCTGAGGGTTCGAGCCGGCCTTCGCTATCAGATCGTCTCCCCGGGCTCTCGGTATACCGACCGACCAGAACAAGGTGTATGACTCTGTGCCGCTGGTACTTAGGTCCTTCTGGGGGTCATAGACGGATGCAAATCCAGCAACATCTTTGCCGCCCAGGAACATTACCGAGCCAGATTCGACGAGCGACTCGGGCAGCTCATCTCGTACAGATCGTGAAATGATGCCGCGAGACTGGATCAAAGTCATGCTGTCTAGCTTGATCTTGTTGTTAAGGCCAACCTGTCGGTTGACCTGGCTGTTGCTGCCGTCTGATGCGATAAGAATGTCGGCCTCCTGTGAAGCCTGGCCATCGAAGTGAAGCTGCACGCCGCATCGCTCACCCGGCATCAGCTCAAAGCGTGCGAAGGTGTGGTCAAAGTGAACCCGCCCTTGGACTAGTAATGGCTGTAGAAGAGCACCACGCAGTCCCTTTCTAGGTATGGCTTGACTCTTGGGATACAACTTGAGATCGCCGAGGCGCAGACGAACCGCGAAAGTATCCGGATCAACAATGATGGGCGCTTCCGCCTGATCACCGGCCCAAACCTCGCGGATCGATGACCAGAGCTCAAGGTCGGAGACTGTCTTCAGAGCGTTAAGGCCATTGGCGCTGATGCGAAGCTGATACCCGCCACGCTCTGAGTTGAATGCAATTGTGTCGCGTTCGAAGACCTGGACATTAAATCTCCCAGCTGGGTCCTTCAGCAAGCCGTTGGCGACGGCAAGTCCAGAGATTCCTGCGCCAATGATGGCGACTCGAATTTTGCGATGCTTGCCCTCGTGAGGAAGAAACTTAGACGAAGCCATGGTGGCTTATCAGGTTAAAGTTAATGAAAGACTTATATGCGTAACAACCAACCGCGGTAGTTTGAATGATGAGGAACGTTTTTTCCCATCTAGGAAGCCATGAGGTCTGTTTTGAAGTAATTATCGCCTTTGCCAAGAGGTCCGTATTGAGACCTTGTAGAATTGCTCTAAAGGGGCGGCACAACACCACATCGGAATACCCCACAATGCGGAGGCGTCCGTGTGAAGCAAGGAACCTTGGACGGCGTCATGCTCTTCTCCTCACCGTAAAAGCACCCACCCGCCGGACTCGGGCTGGTTGTGTGCCGCTAACATCCAACGCATCTGGCGTCTTGAGAAACACAACAGCTATGTCAACAATCAGCATTTCAGGAATAGCCATACCCCGCCTATGCTTCGGAGTGGGAACCCTCATGAAGTGGGCACCCGGCCACACTCATCCACTTCCTACGGACAGCAGCGTCGAAATTCAACAAGCGATTGACGCGGGGTTCCGTCACTTCAACACTGGTGATATCTATACCAACAATGACAGCCTTGCCGAAGTCCTCCGCCGCAGCAATCTCAAACGCGCCGAGATCTTCCTATCCCTTAAGATCAACACCTACGCATCCCTAGGATGTCGAGGCCGCGATCATATGATCCAGGCTGTAAAGCAGGAGATTGAGCGGTTTGGGATATTAGAGGGTTATGTCGACATCCTGCAGCTGCACTTCCCGCCCCGCGGTTATGATGGGAACATGACCAATCGCGATGCATGGCGTGTGCTGGAAGATCTCAAGGATCAGGGAGTCGCTCGCATTATTGGTGTGTCGAATTGGTATGTCGTCAATAACACAACGATGGGGTGTAACCCGATCCAAGCTCACGAGCACGACTTTGTAGGACCTTGCCCGATTACCATGACATCTTCAGCGCCAGCGACCTCAAGCACCCCCCACAGCTCAACGAATACGAGTTCAATCCTTTCTTGCTGTCTGATCCCAAGGTCCGGCAACTCCGCGAATTCGAAGTCAAGCACAACGTTGTCCCAATGAGTATGAACACTATTAACCAAGTCTCTCGGGAATAAATCTCCCAAGCTGACAGCCGCTCAGACTATGGCCTTTTGACAGCCGTCAGCGGCCGCTTGCCCGCTGAAGACAGCACAGCACTGTTGCAGAAGTTGGAAGAGCAGTCGAAGCAAACGAGGCTGTCCACAGCTGATCTGCTGCTCAGCTGGGCATACTACCGGCTTGGCGGCATTGTCGTGACATCTACATCGAAGACAGACCGCGCTAAAAAGACCTTCGAGCTCCTTTCGGCTAAGCAAGCGCCTGTTAACGGTCAGATCTACGAGGAGATTGAAAAGGCGGCAACGCTGGATGGTCCTGAAGGTAAGGTATTCTATGGCCATCCTCACATCGAGAAAGCTCTCCAGCAAAGTATGAATGCTCAGAAATAGGACCCATAGCAAGTAGCAATTACCACTATCTATATCTATGAACTTAAGAGGGCAGCTAGGACTCCCCAACCTACATAGTCATTGAACCCCCAAAACATGGACTACTAATAGACAGGCTTCGTTAGATTTGCGTCTTGTACTATTTTCATGTATGCTGTAGAACTCTCACGACATGGCTTCAACCCCGCGTTTAACTGTCTTCTACAAGAGAGTTCAACTACCCCACCGCCACTTCCCATGAGAGTTTCGGCACCCCACCACATCCTGTAACGTCACTAGTGTTTCCCCACGCCGTCATTCCCCAAGAACCATATGTTATAAGCTTTGTCTACACTACGAATTTCCAAACAAAGCATCTCCAGGCGAAAATTGCCATGTCTTTTCTTGTGCTCTTTGGTTCTCTCGCGCTCCTTGCCATCAGCTGGCTGCTCAGCCACATCCTTACATGTCTTTCACTCCCTGGAGCGTACGGGCCTGCACTTGCCAGATGGACTGATGCATGGTACATCTGGAAAATATGGCAGGGCAAGTATGAGGCGTACGACATCGAAGCACATAAGGATGGCTGTAAGTGGCTACGATTCTTTGGTTCTGATCACTTCCTGGCCCATTGCTGATGACCACCAAAGCCAGGAAAATAGTTCGCATTGGGCCTCGCATGTACAGCATTGACGACCCGGCCATGGCTCGCGTAATCTACGGCATCTCATCTCCCTTGCCAAAAAGCGGATGGTACGATGCCTGGGGAGACCCTCGCATCCCGAACCACAACCTCTTCAGCGCGCGCGATCGCGCCGTGCATGGCCTCATGCGCCGCAAAGTCGCCAGCATGTACTCCATGTCGACAATCAAGTCCTACGAGCCCTATGTTGACAGCTGTGTTGCGCTTCTTCTGAAGCGTTTCGACGAGTTCGCCGAAAGCGGAGAGATGTTTGATTTGCAGCAGTGGATGCAGTGTTATGCATTTGATGTGATTGGTGAGATCACGGTGAGTTTGGTGGTCCGCTTACTTGCCCCATTGCATCAATTTTCTGACTCTTATAACAGTTTGGTAGACGAGTAGGTTTCTTGGAATCTGGCGGACAAGATATCGACGGCATCATGCGAGGTCTAGAAGACGCCAACGCGTTCTCGACACTTTCGGGCGTCAACGCCGTCTTGTTACCCATACTTCTCGTCCTTTATGGTAACCCTGTTCGTGGTATCGCAAGTTTTGCGCGAAAGCTCCAATCCGACAGCGATGATATTGGCATCAAGGAAAAGCATGGCGGAGAGACCTTCCTGACAAAAGTTCAACGACTGCAGAAGGAAGACCCGGAGGAATACGAAAGATTTCGTGTTCAAACGCTTACTTTAACAGGAAACGTTGCAGCTGGAAGTGACACCACGAGCATTTCTCTAACCAGTGCGATATACCATCTTCTCACCACAAATGGTGTCGCAAAGAGCATGTACGAAGAGCTCGATTCTCAAGGCTTCTGCTCTAGCCTCGACGAACACATCACTTTTGACCAAGCCCAGCAACTTCCGTACCTCCAGATGGTCATCAAAGAAGCCCTGCGACTCCATCCAGCCGTCGGCTTGCCCATGTGGCGCGAGGTCGTAGGGTCCGGTCTGGACGTCGACGGAACCCATTTTCCGCCTGGGGTAAGTCTTTAAAGCCTTATTCAACATGGCACAGCCGCATAAAATTGGTCTGACTGCTTTGAACAGACACTCATCGGTATCAATCCCTGGGTAGCGCACCGGAACGCAAAAGTCTTTGGCACAAACGCCGCAGACTTCATACCAGAACGGTGGGATCCCCAACACGCCTCCTCGGAGACGTTAGCGGCCATGGAGCAGTACTACCTGCCTTTCGGAGCGGGCGCGAGGACCTGCATAGGGAAGCACATATCAAGCCTAGAGATGGTGAAGTTGATCCCAGAGCTAGTTAGGCGGTATGAGTTTAAGTGTCTCAGTGGGGAATTGAAGACTGTTAATAGGTGGTTTGTAAAGCCACAGAAAGTACTCTTCAGTGTCAAGCGGAGAGGACTTAGATCTTGAGTTTGAACAGCAGAGGATTTATGTTTTGTCTTATAGGCAGAAGGAACTTAAAGTCCCGGTCCATTATTACGGGCGATATGCCGCTAGACTACGAATATATAGTCTAAAACAACTTCCGCGTGGCGTTCCACTATCGATGGATTTCGATGTCGTAACTGAAGACAGCTCAAGCTCGCAAGCGGATTCTGGATTTCCTAGGTTAAGATCAAAAATGGATTGATGTGCAAAATCGTGCCTATTTCTGGCTTGTATGAGAAGCCTGTACGGTTCAAGCGAGCTATTTGGACAATCTGTAAAACCAAGCCACCTCGCATCGCAGTCGACAACGGCACAAGGCTCGCTCTTCTTCTCCCACCCCCCCCTTTCGGAGGCTCCTTACATCGCAAGTCAAAGAGTTCAGCACATTCTTGCTTGCACCTGTTTCTGGCCTGAGTTTAGCGTCTCTCCGACTGCGGGGGTGGGGGGCCCATCCGTGGAGCACCGCAAAACGAATCTGGGGAATGGCGGAGTCATTAGAAGGTCGTATACTTCATAATACGTGGAAAGTTGCACAGCTCTCTCATCCATCTGGAGTTTCTTATTATCAATTCATGTTGAAGCCCGAGAAACTTAAAACCATGTCTGTCACAGATTGTACAGCCCTTCTCTGTACCTGTCTTGTTTACCGAGCTCTAACATGAGCCAAAGAATACCCGGTTGCCTATGGCCCTTCTGAGAGGCGAATCATTGCCAAAGGTTGGACCAAAAAGGCGGGCCGTATGGCTTTCGCGGTCGATACAGTCTGTAAGAAGGATGTTCGCATTCAGCTCCGAGATGGTGTCGAGCTCTTGGCTGACGTTTTTCGTCCGCTGACATCCGACGACGAGCCTGTCCCAGCCATCATGCCATGGAGCCCATATGGTAAGACTGGAACCGGTCTGCTGCAGCTTGACATGTTCTCGTGGAGAGTCGGCGTGCCTCGCTCTGCGACGAGTGGTCTGGAAATGTGGGAGGCTCCTGGTCCTGCCGAGTGGGTCGCCCGCGGTTCCGCTGTTGTCAATATCGAAGCTCGAGGGTCGTTCAAATCCGGCGGCGATCTTTACGTGTACGGGACTCAAGAAGGCCGTGACGGGTCTGACTGTATTGAGTGGATCGCGCGGTAACCTTGGTGCAATGACAAGGTCGCCATGGCCGGGAACTCGTGGCTTGCGACAACGCAGTGGTTCATCGCTGCCGAACAACCTCCTCATCTGACTTGCATGACACCTTTGGAAGGGCTCGGAGACTACTATAGGGAGTCTATCTGTCGCGATAGCATTTCTGACCATGCTTTCTGGGACGTGTTGATAGGGTGGGCATGCGGTAAGCGTTGTATGCTCCTCATGTGGGTGTTGTTTGCGAGCCTTCCCTGACGTATAGTCTTCCATAGGACCTGGGATGCGCGAGGACCTCAGCGCGATGGTGGATAAGTATGGTACCTGGAACGACTACTTGGAAGATAAGAAGCCGAAGCTCCGCAACATTACTATTCCGATGTATGCCACTGCCAGCTTCTCAACTAGGCTACATACCGAGGGATCAGTCAGAGGATTCCAGCTCTCTCGATCATCTGAAAAATGGTACTTCTTCCGTCAATGATGAGGCGTATTGTCAACTACCTAAATTGCCGAGACACTGCAAAAGGTTGCGCTGGACTGCAACTCAAGAATGGCATGACATTTACCAGCAAGAGAATCTCGATGACTTGCAGCGATTCTTCGACAAGTACATGCTGGATAAAAACAATGGCTGGGAGACTACGCCCAGGATCCGATACTCGCTGCTGGGTTACAACCGTGCAAGCGTAGTCAATCAGCCTGCTGCGTAGTGTCCGCCAGCGAAGTTCAGGTACGAAACCTTGTTCCTCGATGCGACGAATGGATCTCTGGGGCACCGAAAACCCCCGTCTGAGAGCGTGGTCGAGTATCAAGCGGAATTGCCTTCTGACGATGGATGCTCGCTCATCCACACCTTCGAGGAGTACACCGAGCTCTGTAGTGTATCGAAGGCCAAAGTGTACATGTCAACAATTGGTCATGACGATATGGTAAGTTTCCCCGTTCAGGCGGATCAAGTGAGCTTTCGTACATAATAAGTGCTTAATCTTAACGAACTTCTGCAGGATGTCTACGTTGTGCTACGCAAGCTCGACAAGAATGGCAAAGCACTGTGGCACCAGAATATACGCATGGAAGACCTCCCAAAGGGCACGACAGTGGACGATATTTCGAATGAGAACATTTGGTAAGTCACAGTCCTGCTTCCTTCATCGTTCACAGTCAGAAATCGTACGCTCCAGGGTCCTCTGACACAGGCGAACCATATGCAGGCGCTACATTGGACCCAACGGACGTCTTCGTGCATCGCATCGCGCCATCGCAAATGAGGCGCTCGAGGGCCTTGATCAAGGCGCATAGAAGGAGCTAATGGGACCCGCGTACGTGTATCATCCACATACAGCATCGCAAGCATTACGCCGCGGAGAAGTTGTCGAGCTTGAGATTAGTCTCTGGACTGGGGGTATGATCTTCGTAGATCTTCCTCAAGGTCTGACAATGTGAGGTTCAGTCTGCGCCTCTAGTTTGACTCACAGCCGTCAAGCTATGTGCTGTAATTGCTGAGTGTTAGGAGGGTGGGCAGTCTCGTCTCTTTACAGTCTATCTCGTTTCACACACGCGATTGGAGCCGTGCCTCCACGTATCACGACACTGGCTGATCAGCGGAAAGGCCGTTTGCTGTGATGCCCTCGCTACACATCAACACAAGAGTGAGCATCCTGCTTGAAGTGAGAATGACGTGGCTAACGACAGTTAGGCAAAGGAATCTGCCCGACCACTCGATTGATCGTCGAATGTACAAAGCTGGTGAGGCCAAACTCATATCATCCTGTGGCGTGACGGAGCAGAGCGGAAACACTTTTTTTCATCAAGTGTTTCTGAGACTTTTGTCAACCCATCATCTCTTGTGGAGTGCTTGCAGCCCCAGACCTCGGTCGCTAGTCTCATAGATTAAGGCCAGGACCAGGACCAGGACCAGGACCAGGGTCTCGAGTCTTCCCCCCTCGGCCAGATCCCCACGTGGTTCAGAAGGGAGTCAAAGCATCGTGATCTGGGGTAGTTGAGCGGGGTGAAGCGAACGAAGCGGAGCTATCCCTAGCGACAAGATCGAACTTCAATGCTTGCGTCGAGTTTCAAAGTGGCAATATGGTTCGTGATCATATCACGCCGAATAGCTTGGGAGAATCATGATGTTGGGTGCTGAACGAAACCGCATCAGTGGTCCTGGCTTCTGTGGATCTTGCAAAATTTTGCTAAATCGCGGCATCTAGAGTCGGCAGTCATGAATCTCCACCAATTCCGACTTTCGGAACCACTTAGACTTGAAGTTGCCGGTGGAGGCCTTTGATAAGTATGCACTTTCTATGTTATGACCCAACCTCATGACTTCGTGACAATAACTCCTCGTTTCTCGGTCAACTCAACTGCGACATAATTGGCTTCTTCACGATCACTACTCAATAGCCCGCACAATGCCATTTCTAAACCCTCAGCCCAAGATCATCATCGCCGGTGCAGGCATTGGTGGCCTCACAACGGCACTGTCCCTCCATGCCGCTGGGTTCACAGACATCCACATCTTCGAAGCAGCGTCACAGCTCACAACTCTTGGTGTCGGCATCAACGTGCAACCCTCCGCCATTCTCATTCTCCGCAATCTCGGACTCCTGGAAGCTTTTGAAAAGACCGGCGTCAAGACTCAGGAACTCAACTTTTACAACCGCCACGGCCATCCCATCCTCAGCGAGCCACGAGGTCTCAAGGCAGGCTATGCGGTGCCCCAATTCAGCGTGCATCGCGGCGAATGCCAGATGCTGCTTTTGAGTGCTGTCAAAGAGCGTCTGGGCGAAGGGGTGGTCAGCCTAAACCACGCTCTGACAGGGTTCTCGCAGGACGAGAAGAGCATCACAGCGGAGTTTTCGCAACGGCGGGACGGTGCGCCGGCAGGACAGTCCAGCGTCACTGGCCATATCCTCATAGCTGCCGACGGAATCAACTCGACCGCGAGAAAGGTCCTCTACCCCAATGAAGGCCCGCCACGGTTCTCGGGCCGCATGCTCTGGCGCGGTTGTATCGAGCGTGAGCCGTACCTCACAGGAGCTTCAATGGTCTGGGCCGGCCACGCCGATCAAAAGTTCATCGCCTACCCCATTAGCCAGCGTTCCGCAGACAAGGGCAAGAGTCTCGTGAACTGGATCGCCGAGCTTAGGATACGAGACAAGGACGACGAGGATCTCACGCCACCAAAGACAGATTGGACAAAAGCAGTCGCCAAGTCTGTGTTTGAGGGGCCGTTTCAGGGGTGGCGGTGCGGTGGACTCGAGATGAAGGATCTCATCAACGCGACTGAGAAGGTTTTCGAATTTCCTATGAGTGATCGGGATCCCGTCGAGCGATGGAGTTTCGGCCGCCTCACTTTGCTTGGTGATGCCGCGCACGCCATGTACCCGATCGGCTCCAACGGCGCATCGCAGGCTATCATCGACGCGGAGACTCTTGCGAAGCAACTTGTTGAGAACCGAGACGACGTGGTGGCGGCGCTGAAGGCGTATGAGTCGGAGCGGTTGCCAGCCACATCCAAGATTATCGTGGCAAATCGTGGAAATGGACCGGATCACGTCTTGCAAATATGCGAAGAAAGAGCACCTGATGGTTTCGAAAACGTCTACGATGTCGTTCCGAAGGACGAATTGGAAGACATTGGTCGGGTCTACAAAAAGGTGGCTGGCTTCGAAATGGAAAGTGTAAACAAGAAAGCACAAGAAACAGAGGGCATTTGTGAGAGACTAGGATTGAAGAGTCCAGCTGAGTGGATTTAGGCGTTATAGCTAATCAAGCGTTGATGTTTGGCATCTACAAAAATCTCAGTTGACTTTAGCAGAAATACTAGCGAGTTGAGAAAAGCATTGAGGTTTTGATACTAGCCCCTCTAAGATACTATTCTCAAGCTATCTTAGGTGCATTGCAACTCAAAAGCTTTCTCAGGGTGATGCAGGCTCTCATTCGGTGCCCTTTGAGACGGAGAGTACTCGTAGTAAGGAACAAGTTGTAAGGAACACTGCCATCAATAGCTCCGGAAGAGGCTGACCGGGGGCAAGTTCCGAGGCTGGATATGACTTGTCAATGTCTCTGGTGCACGGCGTACATCCTCCAACCGTTATGGTATGATGGCGCAGGTCCAGACTCCCATCACCTGAAGTCAACGTGATGCTGCGGATTGTCTCAGACCCTCGCTGAGATGTGCATACGCCACAGGGCCATTAGCTTCGGTCTAGTCTCTCCCTGCGCGGCAGCTGCATCCAACCACTTCTCATTACCCAGGACATTCGCAATCCATTACATCTTGGCCGTTGTCGCTACAGCCTGAGCCACAGGCAAGGAGTCCGGCAGTCAAGTGACTCTAAACCCCGGCTTGTGCCACCATATGGCCTGCGCACATCCTGTTGCGGCATTTCAAGCGGTCAAGTTTGATTCGGTGGCCCTGAACAGGCTACTGAGTTGTGCATGAACACATACCGCGGAAGGCTTGCCTTTTTCTTCCAAAGTTCTATTCTTTCGTGTGTCTCTCTTCAAATGTGACGTAAACACACTGCACCTACGACGTGTATGATATCCATCTTGGTACCGCATCACATCTATTCTTCGGAAATGCGCAAGAGGACTTTCCAAACTCCGTTCGCTGGAGCTTGGACAGAAAAGAAGTCAAGATAAAGTAGAAAGTGGGATTTAAGCTTCAGACTTTCTGCCCAGGCTTGAAATCAAAAGGCGCCCGATATCACATGTATCAACATTCAATCCGAGTCAAAAGTGTTCAAAATCGTTGGTTTTAAATGAAGGGGTACAAAGGATCAAGTCAACTACCGGTATGTCTTGTCCGGTGGACATAGTCACCACCTATAACTCACTGGCCAAGAGAAAGCGAAAGATAAATATGCGATCTATCATCTGCAACATTTTGCTTTTTCCCTGCCTCCCTTTTGGACAGAACCGCGCCAGTGACGGAATGGTCCAAGCTTGGGAGGTTGGCCCCCTCTGGTGGCCCGTGACTGAATATCTTTCTTTTCCGCTCTCGCCGTCTTTCCGAAATCCGACCTACCGTCCTTGGTGTTTCATCTTTTTCGATGTCCCATGATATTACCACGGCTATTACCTCGGTGCCAGAATGGCGTCGTGAAAGGACACAATGGATAATACGTTACCGTCGTCAACCAAGCGAGCAATCGCATCCTTGGTAGTCCTATTTGTTCTTGCGACGACCTTTCTCGCTCTCAGGATCTACGCGAGAGTCGCTGCCTTGAGAAGCTGGCGGCTGGGGACGGACGACTATGTCATACTTGCGGCGTGGGTAAGTACGGTTCTTTGCGCATGCAATCCCACGATTCTATTCTGTTCTTCTAATGCGACGTCTAGGTTCTCTTCACATGCATGATATATCTTCGTGTCGCGCTTCTAAGTGCGTCCACATTTGCGGGGATATTGAATGTCCCCAAGTACAGCAAGATCAGTGGGGCAGCCGGGATAATGTCAAACATAGCGTGGGCGCTAAGCAAGACATCATTCGCCTTCACGCTCATGCGTTTGATGACGGGAAAGCTTCGATGGATGCTGTGGTTCATCATCTTCTCCATGAACCTCTTCATTGCGCTGTGGCTCCCCTTCTTTCTCAACCCATGCAGCCCTGGCGGACCGGAGCCATGCTGGCCACGGGAAGTGTCGGTCCCGTTTGGGATATTTGTTAATGGTAACTCTTTTTATCATGCCGTTGTTGTATGGGCTTTCCAAAGGCTGAACTGGCTAACTCTCCTGCCTCTAGCATACTCGGCCTTTTTGGACATTTTTCTTTCCTTGCTACCATGGAAGATCATATGGCCCCTTCATCTTAGCACACGCGAACGGATCGGCATCTGTGTGGCTATGAGCATGGGTATCTTGTAAGTTTCGGTCTCGCATTCGGTGCATCATTTCTCTTTTCAGGATTTTGTCAATTGACGTCATTCGCAGCGCTGGGGGTACTGGGATAGTCAAGGTTTTGTATCTATTCGGACCACAGTCACGCAGTATATTTGACTCCGGGAGTATATGTAAGTCTTGACTTGTCCGGTTATGAACCCTCAGGAGCAAACTTGGAAGTCATTTCGGACTGACCCTTTTTCCCTAGATACATTAAGCACCCTTTTCGTCTGGGAAAGCGCTGAGATCTCAGCCACAATTATGGCCACATCAATACCCATGTTGCGGAAACTCGCCGTGAATGTCACAACTAGGTACTCCTCTCGAGGGAGTAGCGAAAACACTATGCTGTCCGTTTTCCAGCGCCAGCTACGTATAGCTGGCCTCAGCAATGATGCCGAGAACCAACATGCTGATCAACCAACAAATTATACTGGCGCGTCTTCTACGAATTATTCCAGGGCGTAAGAAACAGTCCCTCGAGTCTTGTTACGAGATGAAGCAACAAGTGCTGGTTGCTCTAATCAATATCATCGACTTGGATAAACTTGGAAAGGAATGATAGTGGCCGCTTATCCTACCAACCCTCCCTAATACCCAGACCTCACTGCTAGTAAGATAGCCTCCAAACGGGCTTCTTCAAATTCGCCGGATTTAAATGTAGAACAATTAGATGTAGAACGTCCAGAAGAATTCTTGTCTGCAGTCTGTCGATTCTCTACCTGATCGAAAGATGCTGAAATGGAGATGTCAATGCTTTCAACTCGACTCGTGGGTTTATATCGGTCTTTCCGCTCATCGGCTTAGCTTGATGAATTGTCAGGTTTCAGTAGAAGCTTTGAACAGAATATCAATGAATGGTTCAAGTGTTGAACAGGTATAGCTGCTCTTCTCGATGGTGAAAAATTACAGTACGTGCAGTGACTTATTACTCATTGTTCCAGAGACCCCCGTTGTTGTTTCGTGGTAGCGCTCTGCAACAACTGAGACTATTTGCACCGTGTGTGATGTCTGCAATCGGGCATCGATGCAGATAAATATGATTACTACTAGACAGAGTTTGTCGTTGAGCGAATAGTAAATAGAATATTTGCGTTCATCTCAGACGCTAGAGTACCTTGCAATGTGCCATCGAGGACACTTCTCAGAGGCACGGCTATCGCATATTAGTAAAGTCGCAAGTCCCTTTCAGACAGTATTGAACTCAAGTAGTCTCTTTTACAGAATAGTCGTCCATGTTGCGTTGTTGAAAATAGAATCATGACTCGTAGGATCCGGATTTCCGGACAACACAGAAGAAAAATTGGCCATTAATATGGACACTGTTAGACCGGAGACTCCGTCGCTAAGGCACGCAAAGACTACATGTACCCACTGGGGGATTGGCCAGCGCGGCATTGGGTCCATATATCCGTAGATGGAGAAGATCCGATGACACAGCCTCACTCATGACTTCCTACACGACACACCCGGTCGGTCAAATACCACGGGCAGCGATGTCGGCAGGAAGTTGACCTGGTGAGGGGGTTCTGTTGCTCTAGGCCAAGTTCCCGCATCATGTTGCTGTCTGCACTCTGCAACACCAAACCAATACGCATTTGTCGTATTCAATGCTTAAACATTGGCCAAATCCATGTTGTCCGTCTCGTCGAGTCATGCTCGAGCTGCATCGGATGGGTCGGCGGTGCGGTGAACGACCACGTCTCGGTCGCCAGGGTTTTGCTCTATGCCACAAAACCGGGGTCTGAATTTGGTCTCGGGGTGAAGAGGTTCGAGTAATGTGCGTAGATCCTCGTCGCTCGAGCTCGTTACGAATATACTTAGTGCCTATGGTTGCATGACTTGCACAGAGTATCCCACCGGTCAGTGGTGCAGTCCCCATTTTGCGGAAAGATATACAAGACTGTACCATTAGCAAATTGATCAGTCACTTACTAAAGATGCGTTTAAATGCTTGATGAATACAATTAAAGCCTATAGGTAGTTGTAAAGAGATAGAGCTTGGCCTAGAGAGGCACCTTTCGCATCATACCACATCATCTAGCCAGGTTATGTCTTACAACTGGCTTGGGTCCCTAGCAACTAGCCCCATAAGCCAACAAAATAGACTTTTGTTTGCCAGCTCAATCTAATAAGCTTCCATGAACAATCTCAACTATGTAAGGAACAACGATCCAAGGAAGTGGAACTAACGATCTCGGGCTCCGATAGCTGGTGCTTTACGAGAGTTGGAGAGATGCTAGTGCTATTAATACTGCTTGTAGCATGCTTCAAATCCAATTTCTATAAGTAGATCGCATCTTCCACGGACTATAGGTTGGACCGTTTTCCCTTGAAACTCTTGCAACCCACATCTCTACCACCAAACCCACCTTTACCTGAATCACAAAATGAAATTCCTCACACTCGTCATCGCCCTCACCGCACCCCTGGCCGCACACGCGTGGACGGGGCACGTGTACAGCACGCAGGCTGAATGCATCGATGGCTGCTCGGCCAAGGTAAAACTCCCTTTGAACCTTTTCCACAACCTCTCGGATACTGATTATCGGAAAAGTGTCAAGCGGGGGGTGGCATCTACGATGGTTGCTCCGGTGGAGGCGGTGCTACTGCACAGGATCTGTAAGTTCCTGCCATGAGGAAGTCTATACGGCTTGCTAATCCTTTACTTAAGTGTCTACTGCAACTGCAAGTAACTGCGACAAGATTTCAATTACCATGAACTATCACTCTTCTTGTATATAAAACAGAAGTATTTCTCAGAGTTGATTAGAGCCCTTGATAGTGTGGTTCAAAAGTCTCGTGTTGATCAAAAATTGCGTCGTATATCTCACGTGTTACAGTGTTGCCCATGGTCCCATCCGGGTCCGATACATCCACTATAAAGGTGTTCGGTCCCATTTCCCAAGTCATGGCTATATCAATCAAACTATCCGCTGGTTGAAAACTCAGCGCCACCTTTTGGGCCCAAAGGGCTTTAAATTTAGGGCTTATGAGAAACCCAGAAAATACATTGATATGCTCTGGAGACCGTTTCTATTTAACAAGAATGGAATCTCTCAGACATTGGACGTGATCAAATTTCAGACCAGCAGCCACGGTTTCGTGATTCTCTCCACCGGCGTCATATACTGTATGATGACCTTCCTCGCGGACTTCACTAATGAATGGCACCTTGATGCTCAGGAAGAAGACAAGGGGCATATCAGTGTCGTTGGAAGTAGGTGGAAGTCTTGTCCCCCCTTCTGTCGCGTTGTTCGAAGGATGCTTGGGTGGTTCCACACCTACAAACAACCATACGAGGATCGATGTCGACACACCCCCTCTAAGCTTGGGACCTGAAATGCATCCTGTCGATTGCCATTGCATTCTCGGACTTGCCAGCAGCCTTCGCAGAAACAGTGATGAAGAGTAAAGCCTTGCGAGCAGCGCCCCTTTGAGAGATTGCATAAGACTACAGGTCACAATTTCTGAGTTTTCAAGGTCGACAATAGGAGTCATTCCACAAGAGAGCCGACTTGCATGGGGGGAAAGTCATGATGTGCATATGCCCACAGACGTACACTGGTTCCGGCTGGTACATGACATTGACTAAAAAGTCATCACACCCGAAAACTTCAAATGCGCATGTGAGCTACCTCCCGCTGATCAACTTCCCTCTCGCCTAATTTTTCTTGGCATCTGCTGTTAGTGAATGAGTGAGCCTACCACCAAATTACTAACAGCCGAAAACTCTTCACCTCCCCTTGCCGGAGCCCGCATCCGCGATGGCCTCACAGCCGCCGTCGGGCACCGGACTGATGTCGGCCGACCAAGCCGACCCCGAACCAGGCTCCGGGACACCTCCGGAGCCGAACCCCACCTCAAGAGCTAAGCGACGCCGCGACGCCGAGGCACAGCCGACCCGGCCCAGCCTAACGGGAAGCCAGCTTGATGCCACCACCGACGCCCCTACCTCGGCCGAGGGGCCCGCAGCCTCTACCGCATCTGCTCCGAGCGGATCTGCCACAGGGTCCGTCTTGACAGCCCTTGCAGAAGAAGCTAGACAGTACGAGGCACGGAAAGACGTCTTTCTGACCATTGCACGGTCCGTCGACAGCGTTGTCGCCAGCTTTGACGGTTCTAGAAAGCAGATCGCGAAAGAAGCCACTGCCTATGTCATTCAAACCCTCAAGAGACTGATCAATCACGAGACAAGCCCAATAGCGGCCCGGAGTTGGGCGGCTGTCGTCGCACCGATGGCGGGCAACACCACTGCGGCGACCCGGAGCGGCCAGAGCTGCCAGAGCTCTGCCCGCCCGAAGGCCACACTCCCCGCCGAGGATCAGCCGCAGGCGCAGCCGAAGGAGGACCTCCGCATCTTTGCCCGCGTCCCGGAAGAAAGCTTAGCGGCCGCTCGGAAGATCGCACCGTTCGCCGTACGACAGATCGTCTGTAAGGCCGTTGGCCTGGGGCTAGCGGACCTTCCCCACGTCTACCATATCAGCACAGGTTACTCTCTGAAGCCGCGAAACAAGCAAATACAGGAAAGACTACTTACAAGTAAGGCAAAGCTGGCGGAATGCCTCGGCGCCCACCAAGTCGAGACGCCTATCAAGTGGCACACATACGTTGTGCCGCGATGCCCAACAAAACTACACAGCATTGGCGGGGACGTCCTGGACCCAGCCACACTCGTTGAAGATGAGGTCTTCGCACAGACAGGACAGAAGCCTG